TTATTCACTTCTTCTTCAACTTCAAAAAACAAGTCTCTGCTATATTGTTTATTATTAAAAGCATATATATTCCCCAGCAAAAACATTTCCCCATTAAGAGCCACTACAAGAATTATCCATCTGCCCAAATGATGAACTCTACTACTAATAATTTTACCTTTAAATGTACCCTTTAATATTGCAACCCCCGCAGAATGATTACTACCAAATGATAACCAAACATCACTCCCCCATTGACTCTTCCAAAAATTCAAATCCGAAGAACAAGCGTGCGTCTCTTATAAAAAATAAAAATCTGCATTAAACCTCTTGCAGTACAAAAACATAGCCTTTCGTTTTGTCAAATCACGAATACCCCTGACATTAATAGAACACAGCGATAACGACATATATATCCTTTAACAAGAAAAAACTTTTTGAATGAGATAAAACTGAGATATATGTAACTCGAGGGGTCCTTATTCCCTATAAAATACAAATGGCACAGGAGAGAAAAAAAACAAGTATACTTGTAAGAACTATGCTGATAACAACACATATATATATATAGATGTTATAATTCAACAACCATATAAATAAAATTTAAACTATTTATAAAAGATCGTTAGAACGTCAGAGTAAGTCCCATGTAAACAGTCTTTTCTTTATTCCCGTTTTATTCCAGCTTCAATTCCACACCATCAATGAAAGCCTTTCCACTCACGAAGTAGGCTCTGCGCCCTTTCTCCCTGGCGTCTCTCACCCGGGGCCACAGCAGCCTGCGCGCAGCCGCGTCCAGCGCGCTCAGGTCCTCCGCGAACTGCAGCCGCTCCGACCGAAGAAACTCGCAGGTCTTCGCTCGCCTCCACAGCACATCGCGCGTAGATCTGCTGATGAACTGAATAATCGTGGTTCTTGTGTTTTTGCCCTGCTCCTTCCGCCCCAGCCTGTGGACAATGTCTACCTCTGTCTTAAATCACTCCTTGAGCTAAGGAACCACAGCCCCACAGATATTGATCACTGTGTCTTTAATGTCCTCCTCTGACTTCTTGGGAATGCTGTGTAGCCTCAGGTTCCATCTCCGGCGATACCTCTCCGCCTCGTTTAGCTTCTGCTCCAGCTCAGTTATTTTGTGTGCATTTGTTTTAACAACTTCCTTCAGTGCTTTCATATCTGATCTTAAGTCTCTCACCTCCTCCAACGCGAAGTCCACTGACTTTTGTAAGGCACCGATTGTCACCGTGTTCTTTCGAATCAGTGCCTCCAGATGATCTGCTCTCTCATTAATCTTCCTGGAGAGAAGCACCACGATGTTATTCTGCATTTCCAGCAGAGACGGCTCGTCTTCCATCCTCTTCATGAGGGGCTTTTCCGGAGTGTTGGGCTCAATGTCGCAGTCGGAGTCAAGCAGCTGTTCCAGCTGCGGCTCTAGGGAGCTCCTCTCGCTGTCGAGGGCGTACGAGTGCTCGGCCTTGGGGGGCGCTCCGCCGCTCACCCCTGCTGCAGGGTGCACCTGCCCTCCTGAAGGCCGCGGCATTTTCGAAACGTCCTTCTCTTTTCCCTTCTTTCCACCAGTGCTTTTTTCAGAGATCGAATCCATCCTAATATAACGTTTTTTTTTCTCAGTAGTTCAATTCAGAGGAAAGAAAAAAATCGTATCCAAGTTTTAACTTTTTTTTGGGTTAGAAATAAATTTAAAACTCTCCAAAAATTTACGTAAAGTTAGTCAAAAATCATAGACATCCAAATCAAAGCAAATTTTCTCCTTTCACCAATAATTTAAGGGAAAAAGACCCCAATTTTTCAGCGCTTAACAAAACACGTGCGAACTGGTCGCCATCTTGCCGACTTCCCGACGGTGAGTAATTACCACAATGTTTTGAATAACGCTTTACGGCCATGCCGGTCTTAAAGACACACGAGTACTTTCTCCACATCAATACACCCATGTGTCTATTTCGCAGACGCTGGAGAGGGAACGAGCCCATACACGTTTAAAAAACCTCGTTTGTGTTTTACAATACCCCCTCAAAACCTTGTGAAGACACATGCAAATGTTCACGTTATACCAGAGCATGCAGAGCATAGATCACCGGGGAGAAGAGGTCGGTATTAAGAATTGTCTGTGCCGTGTTATAAAACATTCTTTTAACATAAACATGTAAAGGTATCTAATTAATAAATATTCCGACCGTTTTCTATTTTTGGTAATTTGGGGTGTTGAGTTCTTTCACTAATGGTATTTTCCCTCTCCGTGCAGAACCCGAATCCTCAAAAAATAAACTGCGAAGCAACGCTAAGACTTTAACCGAAACCGTGAACTCAAAACGTCTCAAATCAACAAACAAAGGTTAATATAATTTAAGCGTGGTCAAGATGTGTTATGAACCATTTTTTGTAACAGTTACTTCTTTTGTTAGAATTCGTTGAAAGATCCTAGTTCATGTAGTTTTCTGTTTTGGGTTATTAAAAAGCCTTATTTTTAAAACTGCTTAGCCTTTAAGACTTTAAAGTTAATGTTGTAACAGAAAGAATAAGGTTCTGGATCCTGAGATGAAGTTAAACAGATGAGTTTATTGCATGCAAGGAACAATAAAGCCGAAGTCTTGTTTCCCCCAAGAAACAACAAAACCGAAGTATTGTTCGATGTGCCGGTACAAACTTTTAGGTTATATAGTCCTTCCTTGCTGCTTCGGACGTCATTCGGTGTTATGGTAAGGAGGGGGCCATGGTATTTGGCCAGATAAGAGACCCTGGCCAAATGGTCAGTTTAAGATTACGCCCCCAGGGGGTTCCTAGCTCGCATCTGGAATCCTTATCAGTTGACCCCCTTTCCTGCCATAAACCCTGTTGCTTAGAAGTCTAATTTTCAGGCAGAACTGACTTAAGTTAACCCTTTTTACATCTTGTCTCTTACTTCATTAAAAACGACTGGTCGGCGTCTTGTGTCTATATGCCGTTAACCTTACTGCTTGTCCCACTAGCGCCATCACTCGTCTTAAAGGTAACCGGTGTAACAACATGGCCGGGTAACTTGTTCCATTCACCCACAGCGGTTGCATTTTTATCCTAGTTAATGTAGTTTTCTGATTTTGATCGTTTAGATTGCATTGGCTGCTGTGTTAAAAAGTATTTTATTTTTATTTTTATCATTGTGTAGTTTTGTGATTTTGAGATATGGTACACTGGCGTGGTGTTAAAAAGTCTTTTATGTTTATTCACACAGCAGCTGTATCGACGAGTGGTGAAAAAAATGTGATGGAAATGTCGGACCCTAAGGTGGTGACAGCATCGAAGACGGCCGTTAATACTCTGACCAAAACCAAACATGGCAAGCCTTTGGAGAGAAATAACGCGATTAGAGACTTGGTGTTTGGTAATGTGGGAGACTCATTGCGGTATATTGCACAGTTACTATCAACGGTGTGCACTAATGAGGTGAATAAAAAGTGGGATTTAGAGAATCTAACAGCAGCTTTAGCAAGTGCACATTCCGTGTTTCCAAAACCGATCCAGACTTTCACCGCTAACCTTTTAGACATATTTTCTAAAGAGGATGCAGCTCTAAACACAGGATTTCATTACCTGATAATGCTATTTCATGGTTCATTGTCGAAGATCCACAGGGATAAATGACTAAGCATGCGGTCTAAAAAGTGTTTAAAAGACCGACATCTTGCCAACATCACGCATTTGTACATTAATTATAGAATTAAACTGGCAAAAGCCTGTTTGTTGAGACGTAAAAGATTCAGAGAGAGGCATCAGATTTCCCAAGGGCAGCCAGAACCACACAATGAGAATGCATTGGTGGAAAATAACTTAAGGGCCGGGGGTGCTGTAGCGGAACAGGATGGTGGTAATTTTGAAAACCGAGAACCGGTTGGTGCCGGTGTCAGCGCGAATAGAGACCTCTTAGTTTTCCTGGAGCTTATACGCAGTTATAACAGGTCTTATAATAATTTTAGAGCAACAGAGCACTATGAAGAATTTCATTTTGTTAATCTTGACAGAATAGCGTCGTATGTACAGGCTATAGACGCTGTGCATTGTGCAGTCCAGAGAATATTGGATGAACTTTCTCCAAGCATAGGGGTGAATGATTTTGTACAACTGCATCTGTCTTAAGGTGGGTTTAACAAACCCTTGTTCTCATGCAGAAGACGCCCTGGAGAATTAAATGAGCCTCTGCAAATGCGCGATTGGCTTTTTGGGGGTAGAACAAATGCTATTTGTTTGCATTACATTGCACAACCCGGTGAAAAAATTAATTACTATGATTTCACCAGTCTGTATCCATTTGTGAACAAAACTAAAAAATATCCACTGGGTCACCCCCAAATAATTTATAACAACTTTGGAGATTTAAAACGGTATTTTGGTTTAGCGAAGGTGAAAGTTTACCCACCCAAAAGTTTGTTCTTTCCAGTATTACCAACCAAAATTGACAATAAACTGTTTTTCACACTGTGTCGCAAGTGTGCTGAAACAAAACAGACCACTCCCTGCATGCACCGTGATGAAAATCGCGCTTTGACCGGTGTCTGGTGTACTCCGGAATTACAGACGGCCTTAGATCTGGGGTATAGGGTGGCTAAAATTTACGAAATTTGGCATTGCAAAAAGTCCTCACATGATATTTTTTCCGACTACATCAAGCTGCATCTGAAAGGGAATATATCAGCGAATATTATGAAAAAGAGGGTGTCCGTCTGGACCCCAGCAACATTAAAAAGAATCTGGCCAAAAGACAGCTTTCAAAAATTGCCTTGAACAGTTTGTGGGGTAAGTACGGTCAAAGACCCAATTTACCACAGACCAGTATTGTGAGAAACGCCAATGAATTGACTACTTGGGGGAGCTGACCAGTGAAATCGATGCTGGACAACACATCACCGAGTTTGTATCAACAGGGCCCAAGTCGTATGGGTACAAGCTGTCTGGTGGGAAAGCCTGTTTAAAGGTGAAAGGTATTACGCTCAATGTGAACAATTGTGAAAAAGTTAACTTTGAGAGTCTGCGGGACTTGGTTTTTGACTATGGCGTTAACCCTTATGCAGAGTGCCGGGATAAAAACACATTTCTATTCAACAGCCGATGATCGTGCGTGTTAAAAAGGATTGGAGCATTGAGACCCGGACCCTAAAGAAAACCCAGAAGGTGGTGTATGACAAGCGGGTGCTGCAAGAAGATTTTGCATCGTTGCCCTACGGATATTAACACGATGGATGTCAGGTTAAAGCACCCTTTTTCATGCATTTTGTCCGGGCCCTCGAATTGCGGTAAAAGTTATTTTATAAAACAACTCTTGGAGAATGGCGATACTGTTATGACTCGTTAACCCGAAAACATAGTCTGGTGTTACAGCTGCTGGCAACCTCTATACGCTGAGTTGCTTGTGAAATTTCCATACATTCAGTTTATAGAAGGTTACCGACGTCGTTTTCCGACGATCAGCTACTGCCACCTGATAGAGTAAATTTGATTATAGTTGATGATTTGATGGAGTCTGCGTGTGAAAATAATGAGATAGAAAAAGCTTTTACCAAATACGTACACCACAGAAACCTTAGCATCATGTATATCTTCCAAAATGTGTTTTGTCAAGGCCGGAAAAGTAGAACCATAGCGTTAAATACAAAGTACATGGTGCTGTTTAAAAACCCTAGAGATAAACTACAGATTACAACCCTGTCCCGGCAGATGTACCCCGGTAAATGCAAATTTTTTTTGGAAGCATTCGATGACACTACTTAAAAACCTTTCGGTTACTTGTTGGTGGATTTAAATGCCGACACCCCAGATGACTATCGCTTGCAAACAGGTCCTTTCCCCCCAGATGTACCTGCGGCTTATGTATTTAAAAAAATCTAAAATTCGGTGATCTCGCAACCATAGACTCAGTCGAAAAAACACATTCGGACCGTCAACATGTCTTCACGCGTTCGGAGAAATCTGACTCTCTTACATTTTCTGGTAAAAGCCGCCCCCAATCAGCGGAAAGCTATTCTCTGCGGGGATTCAAATGATCTTGTACAGGCCATACAGATGCAGCCATTCAAAACAAGCGGGTGATACCGCATTATTTTGCGGTGTGCTTTACGCAGTCTACCGCGAGTTACCATAAATTCTCGTATAGTACCGCAAAGAAAATAATGGTATCCGGAATTTCCGCAAGGTGGGGCTAATAAAGCTCAACCTCTCATGTTTGAGCTGTCGCCATCAAAGTCTTTAACAAAGATATTACTAATAGTATTAATAATGAATGACCTTGGACAAGCTGTAAACTCAAAGTATTGCCCTGGTCCACATTCTTTTTTTCATTGACCAT